TCTTGGGAACATCTTCCTTCCTCATTCGAATCTGGTGGTAGCCCGATTTCAAATCTATCTTGCTGAATATCACAGACCCGCTTAATTCATCCAACAGTTCGTCGATAACGGGTATAGGAAACTTGTCAGGTACCATCTCCTTGTTGAGTGCCTTGTAATCCACACAAAATTGCCAGCTGCCATCCTTTTTTTTACCAACAGAACGGAACTAGAAAAAGGGCTGATGCTGGGTCTGATGATCTCTGCTTCCAGCATCTCTCTAATCAACCGTTCAATTTCATCTTTCTGGAACTGAGGGTAACGGCACGGACGTACACTGATGGGTGAAACCCCGTCCCTCAACACAATAGCATGCTCTCGCTCCCTCTGCGGTGGTAATCCCTGAGGCGGCTGAAACACCTCCTGGAACTGCTGAATCAGCGGTTGAACAGAGAGGGGTATGTCTCTTCCCTCCCCCATTTTTGCTCCCTCCAAACTGTGCAATTCCACCCAATAGCCTCCTCCCTCCCGCTGAATGGTTCGAATTAGGGATTTGAGAGAAACCCCAGCCTTGGTCAACCCAGCGTCACCCTGAATCATCCTCCTTCTCCCCCCTATCACCAATTCCATCTTCAGTGTCCCCCAGTTGATTTTAGTCTCCCCCAAAGTACGCAACCACTTCATTCATAGGATGACGTCAGTGCTCCCCAATTCCAGGGGAAGGAAGTCCTCCTCTACCTGGATCCCCTGAATCTTCAACACCAACTCTCTACAAACTCCTCTACCCCTTTCCACCTTGCCCGTGCCCATCATCACCCCATAGCCTCCGGTATCGACTAATTCCATTCCCATCTGGTCAACGATCTGGGTGGAAATGAAATTGTGGGTTGCCCCACTATCGATCAACACAACCACCTAGCAGTCAGCTATCTCTGCTCTCTCTTTCATAGTGTGACTCGGGGTGAATCCCACTACAGAGTTGTGGGAGACTTCTGCCACATCCAGGTGCAGCTTCTCCTCCTCCTCTTCAGTCCTGCTCCCACCTCCCTCCTCGTCTTCCTCGTCTTCACAGACTAGGAGAACTTGAAGAGTTCGGTCCTTGCATCTATGACTCGGCTTGTACTTCTCATCACAACGGAAGCACACCCCCTTTGCTCTCTTTTCTTGCATCTCCTTCTCTGTCAGCCTCTTGAATTGTCCCCCACTTCCTCCTCCACCGGATCTCTCCTTGGGCACCTCTCTCTAGTTCCCTGGGGCTACCCCTTTTGAGGGTAATACAGCAGTAGTCATCTTGTATGATCCCCCTGAGTAGTTGCCTTGAGCTCCTCTTTCTGATCTCTTCTGATCTTCCACTAATCGTGCAAGCTCCATGGCCTTGCCTAAGTTCCTTGGCTCCAGCACTCTGATAGCTGTTCTTATCTCCGGTTTGAGCCCCTTCATGAAATTTTCCTCCAGGGCCAAGTCTGAGATGTGATCCAGACGACTAGCCAAGTACTCGAATCTGTCCCAGTAGTCGGCCACGGTCCCCTCCTGAGTCAGAGCAAAGAACTGCTTATAGAAGTCTCCTCCCCCATCGGCTCGGAAACGCTCTAATAAATAATCCTTGAACTCTCTTCAGTTCCTGATAGGCTCTCTTCTGTCTCGCCACTGATATCATGCCAACGCCTTCCCTTCCAAACACAATCCTGCCGCCGTTAGCTTCTTATCATCTGTCAACCCGTTGACAGCAAAGTAACGCTCCACCTTGTATATCCAGCCATGGACATCTTCACCCTCAAAGATGGGCATCTTCAACTTCCTCACCTTTGGATCCCTTCCGTTACCCCGGTACTCTCCATAACCTCTCATTCCTCGAAGAGGAGGTGCTCCCCAAGGGTCTCGGTCCTCCCTCCGATGTTGGTATCCGAATCCATCGTCATATTCCCCTCTTCCACTTTCAAAATCAGCACCTCGACGCTGAAATTCAGCACTTCGACGCTGAAATTCTTCTCTTCTTTCGCCAAAATCCGCACTTCCCTCATATTCCCCTCTCCTGCTCGACGCTGAAAATCAGCACCTCGACGCTGAAAATCAGCACCTCGGCGATCATTTCTCATGCTCATATCCTCTCTAGAAAGTGGCTCTAAAGGTGGCATGTCGTCGTCTCCCTCAAGGACCTCTACATCCGGATTCCTCCTCCCCCTACGCGGGTTCGGATTTGCTCCTACGCCGTGGTCTCCAGTAGTCTCTCTTGCTTCCGACGTCGTCGGATTAGTCTTCATCTCCAATAATTTCTTCATCATTTCTTCCATTGCCGTGAATTTTCCCTCCAACCTTTCGTTGTTGGTGGTGATTTG